GCTTGAATTGGAAGCTATGATATTATTGAAGATGATATAGAAATTGAAAGACAAACCACGGAAGAAGCTAATCCTATCATTCCTTCTATTGAATAGTTGAAACTTCATGTGCTGGACAATTTATATTTTTGTTTTTGTTGTTGTAATAGACATTTAAATATATAATACTTACTTTTATTTTCATATTATAAGATACAATGCTACAAATAATATTGCTTTCAAATTTTTTTGTCATTTCAAATATTATGCTTTGATTACTTTCTTATTTTTTATCTATGATTTATATATTATAATGTTATATCTGCGTCGTATCTGTATCATGTATTTTTAAGAATTAACGTGTCTCGTATTCATATCATGTCGCCGTATCCGTATCGGTGCAACATAGGAATTTATTAGGACATAGGTTGCATTTTAGTATTTTTATTAATTATTTTTATCATATGCATAATGATATTCTCATAGGTAATATAATTTTATTGTTGATGTGAATAAGGGATATGTGAAATTTAAATCAGAAGATGAAGTAAATGTATGTCTAAATTCCAAATGACTTTTTATGGTGATCTATAAGAAATAATTGCAAAAAAGGATGGGATTATATAAATTCATATAGCACATTGGGACCTTATATTTTATTTATATAAGGTCTTGGATGATTTCACATGAGTATGGAAAGAAAGAGGAATCCATAGCATCAATATTAAATTAATAAAAAAAGTCGAATCAATTTATCGAAGTCTAGATTAATGTTAGAATCCATGGATCTCTCCGTTTCTTCGATGAGGGGAATAGAGAGAGAGGTGAGCGGGTTGAATGGGGGAAAGTGGAGCCATTTATAAAGATCGCATCTTGAAAAAGTCCACAGCAAGTGGAAGAGAAAATTTGTTATTTAAATATTTTAGAAATGACTTTTTTTATTAATTTAAAAAATGCCGGAATTATTACAAAAATCTTTAAAAAGCATAAGTATATCAAAGACATTAGAGGGCTAAGAGCCTCAAAAGGCATATCTATTTCAAAGACATTAGAAGGTTCAAAGCCTCAAAAGGCATATCTATATCAAAGACCTTAGAAGGTTCAAACCAAATCTAGTAAAGCAAAGCCAAAGTCTTCTAAGAAGAAAGCCAAGTTGAAGAAGCCTATGACGAAGAAGACTGCAACTCAAAAGGCTATTGATAGATTAAAATTTAATCTAATTAATTAATTCAAAATAAAAAAATGCCGGAATTAAATATTTTTCTACTAAGTGACGTTGTAGAACTCACACTGAAACTCAACAATGAGAATTATAAGAGTTAAAAAGCATAAGTATATCAAAGACATTAGAGGGCTAAGAGCCTCAAAAGGCATATCTATTGCAAAGACATTAGAAGGTTCAAAGCCTCAAAAGGCATATCTATATCAAAGACCTTATATAAATGGATCTACTCATATTGTTATAGGAGCTATCTTATATGTAGGGATTGTGTCTACCAATGATGATGGATACCAAATGTATTTTATGCATTGATGTAGACTGACTTGTGATGACTCATGAATAATATTGCAAGAAACATAACAAGTACGTATTTACTTGACAAATATCAAATACTTAATTCGTAGAAGTTAATTTTTTTTTAACTGGGTTGAATGACTCATCATTATGTGCGAACACATTTTATTTTGAATTGAGTTTATTTCAGAGTTTTGATTTTTGGTTTATTGTAAACATGCTTATAGTGATGATTCATGTAAGCAGAATGTGTTCTGTATTGTTTTTGTTTGTTCTGTTTGATTTTCTACACTAATTCATATTGTGTCCTCTCTAATGCCTGTGTTGGTTCGGTTTAATTTCTTATGGTTGTTTGAGTTTGTTCAGCCATTAGCTCATTGATTTAATCATTGGTTTCTAGTTTGTTATTAAGTTCGCTATTGCCTCTGTTTCCCACTAGAGGTTGACATTTGGGTTTATTCACTGTTCTTTGTTTTTCGAGCGTTTTTGGTTGATTCCAAAGTGTCATGATCTTTACTATTTTGGAGAGAAAAAGTTTAAAATAGTCCCAAAACTATTTCAATTTGTCTTTTGACTATTAAAAATTGATCCAATTTGATCCATCTGTTAACAAACCGGTTCAAATTGACAGAAGTGTTGTTGTTGTCCCACTACTATATAATTTGAGGTGGGCATTTTAATAAGAACTTCATAATTTCTATTTTTTTAACTCATTTATCAAAACAACTTACCAGTGCCAACTATTGAAATGGAAAATTTGCTTAAACTAATAGAAGTTGAATACAAAAAAAAAAAATAACGGAAGGCAGATATTTACTTATTTTTTCAAACTTCAGGGTTTTGAATAGTCGGTTAAATCTTCCATGAGATAAACAATAATTGTCAATATAATTCATATCATAATAACATATTAGTTTGATACTCATTATAAATATTTTTAACTAATTATTCATCTTTATTATTTTGTAGGTTAACTTCTATTTAGATTTTTATATTTAAGAATTCATCAACAAAAATAACAACAATATCAAGCCTTTATTCCACTACGTGGGGTCGGCTACATGAATCCTTTTTCTCCATTGTGTCCTATTAAAGGTCAAATTCTCATTTAATTCTAATAAAGAAATGTCATTTCTAATATTTTCTAACCAAGTCTTTTTAGGTCTGC